AATGTCACTTTCTACCTACACTGAAACACAGAGAATGGCGTATGCCCAGCAGAAGACACAGTCATGTACTGTCACGTGTGCTTCCAGAGTGCAAAAATTGAGTGAATTGTATAATGCATAGTTTTGTACCTACATTTTCCACTCTGGCCACTAATTTAGATATTACTTGTGTAATAACTATTTTAGGATCAGAAGAAGTAGAAGGAAGAAGAAATAGTAACAAGTGGATTTATGTATTGGGTCTGGCTAGGATGGAGTCAATTTTCTTCATAGCAGCTCGTATAGTTTTATGTTTTAGATTTGTGACCAAAACAATGCTGATAACACACTGTTTCAGCTATTGCAGAGCAGAGCTTGCACAGCATCAAGGTCTTTTCTGTTTCTCCCTCTGCCCCACCCCAGTGAATAGACTGGAGTGTGTGCAAGAGGTTGGGAGGGGGCACAACCAGACAGATGACCCAAAATAATAAGAGATACTCCATGCTGTAAAGTGTCCTGCTCAGCAATAAAAAGTGAGAGAAGGGGGGGGGTTACAGAGGTTAGTCATCTTTTGGCTCAGGAACTGTCTGGGTATCAGTCTACCTGTGGGAGTCATGATTGCCTTTACATCACTTGATTTTGTTTTCTGTTTCTCTTTTTCCACTTTTTCTCCACTTCTTACTGGTTGAGATAAAAATTGTTTAAGTTTTCTTGCTTTTACTCGTCTTTTCACTCTTCCTTTCCTCTTCCCCCATCCCTATGGGGGTGGGGGGAAAGTGAACAAGCGGCTGTGTAGTCCTTAGCTGCCTACCGGCATTAACCCACACCACAAAATTGACACAATTTTTCCTATTTTCAACTATTTACATTCAAAATATTTCCTCGGGAACACCATCAGTTTTTACAGCCTGTCCATTTAATTTCTTACAGATTACTTAGCCTACCCCTAAAGTAGTAAGGACTGATAGCTCTAATCACGCCCAAAGCCATCCATAAGAAGACGATGCATAGTAATTGTTTTTTCTCTATTATGTTCTAAAGGAAACAAAAAAAATACCGTGTTCAAGAAACATTTCAAGGAATGTTATTTAACAACTGAAAAAACTGTAAGTGTTATGTATCCATTTGAAACACTCTCCACCAAGTAATTTCATTACTAACAGTGACAGAACTCTTCTGAAGTCTACTGTGACTTCTCAAACTGTTATTTTTCTAAGTATCAAAAACACTATTCATCCTCCTCTCACCAAAATCCCCCAAGCAACTGATTCACCTTTTGAACAAACATGCAGCAAAAATCTGTTTTATGAAGAGTCGAGTGGCTTTAGATCTGTCCTGATATAAAATAGCATTTTTCCCTCCTTTTCTTTTTCCTGTGTGTAAAAATGTAAACACCACATTCTTTAGATCTAAGACTTTTTTGTTCCTTCCCCTTTGAAAAAAAATCCTGCGCAAAGCAAGATTTTAACCTAGCACACACATAAAATAGAGTGATCATCGTATGAAAGAGAAGCAAATGAACAAGTAACTAGAAAAGCAAAATTTCTTTGGCCTCCAAGAAGTTAACAACTTGGACCCAGCATGGAAAAAACATGAAGGAGCAGGGGCTTTCTTATTTGACCCTGAAGAGCATCCATTAAAAAAACATCCGTTTGGCAGAAACTAGCAACTCAGTGCTCTCAGGGAAATTGCTCACACGAGCCACACAAGGCAAGTCCCATGCTGGCCCTGGCCAAGATCCACTTCCTTTGGAGCCAATTCTGCTCCAAATGGCATTGGAGCATCCATTCTCCCGATGGCAGGACAGCAGCTGGCAGCATAACAGGGACGCTCCGGGTTACAGGGACGCAAACTTACGTCTGTCAGAAACCCCAGCAGACCCCTTGCTTGGCGGTACCTGGCTCCTGCCCCGGGGACAAAAAGAGGGAAGGGGGACAGGGACCGGCGTGATCCTTAAAGCTTCCTTCCTGCCCACTCGCCTGCGCCCACCCCTTTGCCAGCCGAGCTGCCGGCGGCTGGCCCACGCCACGCCCCGAGGCCAGGACCGACGTGGCTCTGCCCGAGCACCTGCCAGCTGCCCCGGGCAGGGCTGGGCCTGCGGC